ATTTAAAAACTGATTTTTCACAACATTTAAATTGTGATTTCATCATCTTAGAACTTCAGAGTTGGGAGGGAACCAATATATCATGCAGTGCAGCCTCTGTCAAAGAGGCACATTGGGGGAATCAAACTCCCAAAACCTCCAGCTCCACAGCCAGAGCCTAAATCACCAAGCTATCTAGCAGTTCAAATTGATTTGGTTTAAATCCAATCCACCCTGCAAACAGCTAGATGTCACTCCAGGGCCTCCAAAGAAGACAACCCATAACTAGGCCTCTGCTGCTGCCGAGCAACTGCATTTACTAAACTGCATGTTACAAGCCCCTCAATCTGTGCAAATCCGAGAACCTGGGAGCTCCCGAGGTGCACAGACTTTTCAAATAATCAGGTTACAAAAATCACTGAAATATGCTGCATCTACAGCTATCGTTATATACAGAAAGTCTTGTGTTAAAAGAAAAGGAAGAAAAAAAATATGACTATCTTTGCAATAAGTTGATCATGCAACAGAGGTATTCAGTGTGTTTTCCTCATTCAGGAATCCTAAACTTTTTATTCAAAATCTGTCTTATAGAAGAGGTAACAGAGATAAGTAAGCATTTTGAGCCTGGCAAACTCAAATACAAGTTGCAGGTTTTAAAGCAGATAAAAGGGGACAAAATGTAAAATGGTCATTCCAATGGCAAATATGCTGATCAAATTTCCTACAGAGAAATCTCTAATATTGCATTGATGGAATGGAGTACCCAACTGCTGTCACGGCAACTGCACTTGCAAGCCTCAATAAACCAAAATTCAAGGAACTTAGGCTTACAGTGAATAAACTCACTTGTTCTCATTCTACTCCTACCAACCAGTTGAACAAACCCGGAAGTGTTTTGCTAGCACAAAAAAACCCTGGTAGCTGTAATGCAAGAATGACCCCTGGCTTTCAGCTATGTCAACAAACCAGGATCTTCTGTTCTGACAACATACAAAACAAGACACCTGGATTGTACAGCTCTTACACTAACAGAGAAGAGCAAACATGAACAGCCTCCATGTACTAACATGAATGCGAAAACTTCACAATAAGCCAGCACTCTCAGAATCCTCCAGTGGCTAACATTTAGACATGCAAATAGATCACAATTCATCATGCTAAGGACAAGACTGAGCAAGACTTCGTTTTATACGTCTCCCTCTTTCCGAGGGAACAGGGTTTTTTCCTTCCATTTTAACTAACTGCAGTTTAATGTTATATTCAAACCCCATATGACAGTTAATCTTGCCTGTGATTCATCGAAGCACACCGTAGTTAGTGATTAATGAATTCAACTAGCATTTGAAAAACCACACAGCCAAGGTGGATTTGATTTAAATCAAATGTATTTAAATTAGGGGGGGGAGGAATTTACATCGTGATTGAAATCAATTTGATTTTTTTAAAAAATCATTGATTTATTTCTCAGAACTCCTCACTGTGGTTGTACAGGAGGGGGGAACGACATGCCCAAGACAATCGTTCAGACTGTGAATACAGCCATTCCTTCAGATTAACTCACAGAACAGGATAACATCATGTAACAAGTGACAAAAATGGTATTGTCTTTTATTGACCTAGCATCCTTCTATCCTGCCTTTCTTCACTCATGGAGCTCAAGACCATCATATGTGAGGTTTCTGGGGAGCTTTAATCCAGACGCAGACCAAATTAGCTCCAGCAAGTTGGCCATATCATACGTTTTTATGATCCTATTATTTTAACAACTAATGTAATCATCATCATCATCATCATCATCGACTAATGTAATCATCATCATCATCATTATAGTCCTGCAGAGCTGGAAGAGAGCCTATGGATCATGGAGTCCAGCCCGTCAGGGAGGCACAGTGGGGAATTGTAAGCTGAATGTAATTTACTCGGTTCCCCTCCTTCTCATCTTCCTAACAATCTTGTGAGGCAGTACAGGCTGAGCATGACTAAACAGTGGTGACTCAATAAGTATCATGATTTACTGGGAATGTGATCTCCAAAGCTTTAATCCAACTCTAAATCCAGCTCAATACTCTCCATCTCTCTCCTGCCCCACAGCATAACAGGTTTGCGGTCATATATACAATGAGACAGAGGCAATTTACTTACGCAAATTAATTTCTGCATATTGATCATTTCCATGGTTGGGCATTCAAAATAAGGGTGTATGCTTTCAGGATCATGGCAAGCAGTGGTAGATTCTACACTTTAAATCCCTACAAAGAGGCATAACCCTGAAAAGCTTCTCAGTCCATTTTTCTGAAGTGACAAGGCACCCAAAAATTGACATCTTACTCACAGCTTGCAGATCTGCTGGCAGTTGGGAAAGGCAAAACAGAGGAGACCAATGTCAAAGCGCTTGACATCTTACTCACAGCTCACTGTGCGTTGCAGATCTGCTGCCAGTTTGGAAATGCAAAACAGAGGAGACCAATGTCAAAGCGCTTGGATAACCATTTCTGAAGATGGCCATCTCTCTCTCTCTCTCTCTCTCTCTCTTTTTTTTTTTTGCAAAGAAAATATATTAGTTAACAGCATCCCCACCCATTGCCAGTATTAAAGCATTTGAGACTGCAACCTCCAACAAGCCCAGCCATCATGGGAACTGTATTATACAACATCTGTGATCTGAAACATCTAAGCACCAGTTCAGAGGAGCTGATCAGTTGTCGAGAAATAGTTTGCTTATAAAAGAAATGGCCTACTTGGTGGTAGCACCCCAAATGAAGAAAGTTCTCCCAGGAAAGTTCATTAGACACCTGCCTTGGTGTCATATTGGCATCAGGCCACCTTTTTATCTTTCCAAGCTTCAGCTTCCTCTGTGGATTGCTTTTATGCTGTCTGGGTTTAGTTACTTCTGCTGACCATTTTCCATATAGTTTCATAATTTGTTTTATTTTATTGACACATTTTAAATAGTTATTAGCTGCCTTAGAAACTTGGGTGGCCCTGGACAAATCATAATCTCTCCAGGCAGATTGTGAGAAGACTTTGAAATTCATGCAGGTAAAAAAAGGAGAAGACAGATTGATATTTATCACATTTTTCTCAAGTGTTCAAAAAGTGTAATTCCAATTCTTTCAATAATCACTGCATCAAAAACTATGAAGCAGACCAATGGTGCTAGGCTTGGAGAACATAGAGAAAAGAGGCTGAGAACACCTACATTTCCCGTTCCACAGTAAAGTCATGGCTGAGTGAAGAAGGCATCAAGAACCTCTCCGATTACTGCTAACTATGCTATTGCAATTTTAAAATAATCATTTGTAGATAAAGAGGGAAGAGGGTAAATTGATGAACATACTGAAGCAAGTGAACCAGGGAAAAAGAAATTAGGACTGGTAAGAGAAATTTTCTGGATCAGGCACAATACAGTGCTGCTTTTCAGCAACCACAGTATATCTTGGACCAGAATTTCTTGGTCGGAGAAATTCAACTGTTTTCCTGCTCTTATCACTTATTGCTCTGAAGGTTACGTTCACCAGAACTGCAGCAGCAAACCCATTTATGATTAACTTTGGTTTCAAATCACAGCTCCAACATGTTAAAAAGATTTTAAGTTTTAAAGTATACTTTACCACCTTACACTAACATAAATGTTTATCAGCATTACTGTTTGAAGGACTGGACAAAGTTGATATTATCAACAAACAATTTTAAAGCTTTTCAAAAATTAATCAGAAGCAAACACTAATGTGAAATGAAGAGGCTTATCTCCCTTAGAAACCATAAGTGTAAAAGCAGAAATAGGAACGTGGAACGGAATATGGATGCAAACAGGAAATACAAACACTATGTTCTAAGTACACCTGCCAGCTTTTACGTCAACAACAGCCATTTGGCAAGATTATAGAAACACATTTACTGCTTGCCATATGTCAAGGAAGGGTGTTTTCAAGGGAAAATGTCTTCTGGGTCCAGAAACAGGGGTTTCCATCATGAACTGCCCTCCAAATGGCTGAATAACTAAGACAAGTTCTGCTTTGGTCCTTCTTAAATAATCTTAATGGCTGATCCAAAACCCAAAAGAACGAACCAGGAGGGGTAAAATACTCAGCTACAGCTGATTGTACCACCTACCTTCTCCTTGCAAGAAAAAGTCAGGAGGTGTTGAATATCTAGTCGCGGTGCACTCACTCAAGTCAAAGGGGAATAGCTAGAAGGCTACGTGGCATTCAGACACAGCAGCACCGGGGGAAGGGAGGGGGAAGAGAAACCGAGAAAGGAAAAGATAGCACCCTCTTCCTGCCCCCTTACTAATAATTAGCAGCCGCGATGACCAAAAGGAAAAACAAACTAAGTCCTCCCATAAGGGAAGAGTAACAGAAGGGTCTCTAACGGGATACAGTGGAAGAAGGGAAATCCCCATGCATCTATTTTTCTCTTTGCAAGGGATTTCCTGCTACATGGTGATATGCCAGATATGTGCACAGTTGAGCTTTTACTTCTAAACTCCAATGGGCCAAGCAAGTAAGAATCTGAATTCTATTATAACCCTCCCCCCACAGGCAAGTAACTGAACTCATAAATATGCTATGTATCTCCTCCAAAAAGAAAAAGAAAAAAGGGGAAAAAGGAAAGAAAATTAACTCCTTCTACCCACTTTAATTTCCACCCAGGCTCCCACTGCAAGCAGAAGCCACCCATTCAACTATAGCAGTTAAGGTGCCACATATTTTTTGGCTTCTTTATGTTCTATTTGGTTTTGCCAGGAACAACCCTGGCATCTTTTATCGGCCTCTCCCCAGGAACCACAGAACCAGGCATAACGGTGTTTCAATTAGGATCCCGACAATCTGAGTTCACCACACTTTCTTCTCATCCTACCCGATTCCAAATGCTTCAGCCCTGCTTCAACTCTGCTCCTACGAAAACTAGAAAAAAAGAACCCATCTGCCTTCTTGGAGGCCCGTAATTCCCATTACTTTCCAAGCCTTTTCCCCCTTCTGTCCTCTTTCTCCCTCATCATCTAGAGCCCATCACAGCTCTAGCTGAAACCATTTTTTTTTTACCCTTGTATCCTCGCTTGCTCCAATCTTCTGCCTCCTCGTGTGATGCATCCTTCCATACACTGAGTCTCCACAACACCCTCTGATCCTAATCCCTCAATTTCAAGAGGAAATCTCTAAACCTCTCCTTCTAACCCATTTCCCCAACTGTCCATATCATATTCTATATCTGACAAAACAATCCACTTGTTCCCTCTGCACTCCCAGCTCTCCCTTAATCCTCCCAAGCCTGCTGCACCTCAACTAACCCTCCTATCTCTGCTTCACGGGGAAACTAGGGGGTGGGTAGGTAGGTGGGAGGGATAAGAGGGCTGTCTTTAGGGTCTGGAAACCGCAGGAGTTCAGTTAGGATGTGAAAAATCATCTCTAGCTTGCAGGCCATGGAGGGAGGAGGAAGAGAGAAAGGGCAGAACCGGTGGAAATTGAGATTGAGATTATCATCCTCATCATCTTTGCACTGCAGGGGCCCTGTGGATCAGACAGTTGGCAAACACAAATGCTCGGGGCATGCAACGGGACAGCCGCCTGAGTGGAAGCAGATGTTGGAAAGGATGCTGGGATAAAAAGAGCAGGATGAGGCACCAGCTGTTTGCAGGACAGGGTTGGGCAACATGGGACCCCCCCCCAAAGATGCAGCTCGGCTTCAAGTCCAGGCAACCCCTTGGGCACCGGCCGGCTGCAAGCCGAGGGCTTGGCGAGTGATGACAGGTTGCCTACCCTGATGTTAGCGGGTGAGGGGAGACCCTCCAGGAGCCCTGAGGGTGTGTGTGTGTGGGGGGGGGAAGGTTGGCTTTCTGAGGAATCCCCACAAAACCTAGCCACCCTGCTTAACGGTCCTGGCAAGAAAGAAGAAGGGCATTCATTGCTTTTCTGGTGGGGTGGGGGGGTCCCTGGGAGGCTCAGCTTGTATTAGGACTGGAAACCAATAGGCCTGAGTG